CCCCTGGTGCCCATCGGGAAGGCCACCACGCTGCTGGTCGAGGTGCTGGGCTTGTTGTGCAAGGGCATGGTAAGTGCACGGGGCTCTGTGTAGCTGCTGGCTGCTGCCTCAAGGGCTGGGAGGCTGCTCGGGGCAGGCAGGTTGGCATGTGGGGATTGAACCTCTCTGCCACCAGAGAGGATGGCCGGGGCCATCCCTTGCTGTGTCTGAGGTGTGGGGGTGGCATGGCCAAGTTGCAGCATCCCCCTCTCTGGAGATGAAGAGTGTGAGGTGCTGAGACTGACTGTCTGTCCTGCAGAGCCAGAAAACCGCAGGCAAGCTGTGGCGGGACGGGGGCCTGAGCTGGAAGGAATTCCTGCCTGAGGACCAGGATGTCAACAAATTTGTCACAGAGCAGGTGGGAGCTCACTTGCAGAGGGGCAAAGATAGGCTGTTGTGTGGGGGAACCCTGGGGGTCCTGCTGCCATTGTTCCCCTGTCCTGCCTTTAACAGCTGGTCTCTGCCTGCTCCCCCAGAAATTGGAGTACACGATGGGGGATAGCTCGGACACACCGAGCCGCAAGGAGCTGACCTCGGAGGAGCTGTACAAACAAATGGACAAACTGCTGAAGGAGAACCCGAACAACCAAAGAATATACGACTGGATTGAGGTGAGGGTGTGGGCGCAGCGCCCGTGGATCTGGGGGGGCTCCCTCCTGGCTCCCCACCTCACAGCCCCTGTCTCCTCCCTCCTCCAGGCCAACCTGAGTGAGCAGCAGGTCTCGTCCAACACCTTTATCAGGGCCCTGATGACGTCCGTGTGCCACTCGGCCATCATCTGTGAGTACCAGGGTGAGACGGGGTGGGCGTGGGTCCCCCTGCTCCTGTTGTGCCCCCTCTCACACCCCATCTCCCGCAGTCGAGAACCCCTACCGTGTGGATGCCCTGGTCATCCGCAACCAAGCCAAGCTGCTGCAGAAGTACCTGCGGGATGAGCAGAAGGAGCTCCAGGCGCTCTACGCCCTGCAAGCCTTGGTGGTGAAGTTGGACCAGCCTCCCAGTGAGTGTCGTGGGATGGGTGGGCTGCGGCAGGGGGTGGTGGCAGGTGGGTCCCCACCCCAGCAGGGTAGCTGGTGGCTGGGGAATGGCAAGGGCTCCACTTTGTCCCCACCCCAGACCTGCTACGGATGTTCTTTGACGCCCTCTACGATGAGGATGTTATCAAGGAGGAAGCTTTCTACAAGTGGGAGTCCAGCAAGGACCTGGCTGAGCAGCAGGGCAAAGGGGTGGCTCTCAAATCGGTGACAGCCTTTTTCACCTGGCTCCGGGAAGCTGAGGACGAGTCGGATAACAACTGAGCAACCGTGAGGAGGAGGAGGAGGAGAAGGAGGAAGGGGGGGAGAGAGAGCAGGGCACCTTGGGGAGCAACTCCATCCCCTCCCACCCCTGGCCCCTCTGGACTTGCTGATGTCAGGGCTGAGGGACCTGCTGTGCCCCCTGCAGCCCCCCTCTCTTCAGTTCTCCTCCTCTCCCTCCTTGCCCCATCCTGGTTCTGTTTGCGAGGCCTGTACTACGTTGTGACGATAATAAACGGATGCTGACGGAGGCGGTGGCTGTGGTGGGGCCCCTCGGGGCCCCTCCTCTCCCCCCTCCCAGCACAGGCACATCAGGTCTCCAGGAGCCGGGCAGAGCACCCCTGGACTCATGTCGTGGGGAGGGGGGATGGGATGGGGACATTTCTCCCCTCCTCTCCCCTCTCCTCTTCCTCCTCCCCACTTCTTGCTGAAATATAGAGAGATTATATATATATAAACTTATTAAATTTGGTTTGGGGACAGGAGCGTGATTTCTCCCACTCCCCTGTCCTCTCTATTCTTCCATCACTGCCTGGATCCCCCCCTCTATGGTTTTTTATTTTAAATATAAATCATTCCCCCCAGCTCCTGCTCTGACACCTGGGGAGGGTGCCGGGGAGGAGGGGGGGTGACCCCTTCTCTCTGGGCCAGGCTGAGTCCCCTCCTCCCCGCCCAAAGCCCCCATCCTCCTCCCAAACGTTTAAGACCACAATTGGGCAAGCGACGGGGCGGCCCCCGCATCCGCGTCCCCTGTATTTATAGAGCGCCGGATGTGACGAGCCGCACGTGTAATTATTAAAACAAGGATTCAATTACTGGTCACGTGAATTTGTAAATAATTTTTTTTTTTGCTTTTTTTTTTCTTTATGGAGTATTTAATTGAAGATTTAAAGGCATCTTTTCACCTTAAAACTGGAAATAAAAGAACATTGCTAAATAATGCCCCGTGTACCGCTGTTGCCGCCCCCCTGTCCCATGTCCCTTGTGCCTGGGCTGGTGTGGGGGTGCCAGCCTAGAGCCTAGGCAGGGGCCAGCCTCCCCCAGCACCCCGAGGCAGACGGTAGGTACCCCCCACCCCGGGGCTGGGAGGGTGGCACGGGGCTGGGCTGTGCTTGGAGCCAGGCCCCCTGGGATCCCCCCTCACCAGCTCTGCCTGGCACAGGGTGTCCCCGGGTGAGGTGTGCAGCCCTGCCAGCACCCCAGTGTCCCCAAGTGTCCCTTTTCCTGTGGGCACAGAGGTGGCAGGACCTGGGCGCTCTGCTCTGGGCTCTGCCTTGGGGCAGGAGGTGGGAGAGATGAGCTGTTGTCTTGGGGTGACCCTTGTCTTGCAAGGTGGGGGGGATGTGGGGCAAGCCTAGGCTGCCCCCAGCCCTGGTGGGGTGTTGCTGCTGGGGACAGAGGCTGCCTCCCCTCCAGCCTGGGCTGTGCTCTGGGTGGGTTGGGCTGCCTTGTGCTGAGTCACCCTGGCCATGGCTCAGAGGGTACAGAATAATTAACCAGAGGCTGTTCCCCAGATGAGAGGCCAATCTGAGCTGTATCCCTGGTACTAGTGCTGGCAAGCAGGTGGCAGGGAAAGGCCAGCAGGTTGGGGGGGGGCTACTGGTCAGGATCTCCCCCTGCCCATGAGTGAGTAGAGGGAGGCCCTTGGGCTGTTCTGGTACTCTGCTTGCTAAGGGAGAGGGTGGCACCCTGGCGGTGTGTCTTGCGCCCCTCTGTGCCAGGGAAAATGTGTTGCAACATTCATTGCCATCAGTAGGTTTCAGAATAAACAGGCGTCTTTGGCTGAAAGTTAACCCCTTGGCCTGGCCTCAGCGCTGCTGTGGCGCTGCTGCCGGGGAGGTCACTGGTGCCATCAGACACGATGCCCTAAACCTTGCACCCGCCAGCCCCAAACCCAGCCCCAGCGAGGTGGGACCCCCAGCGAGATGGGACCCCCGGCCCTGTCTCAGGGGGTGCAGGTTCTCTCCGGCACCACTCCCGCTTCTGCATGTGGGGCGGCAGGCAGGCCAGACCCCCCCACTTTGGTGGGCAGGCCTGGGGCTGAAGGGAGGCTGTGTC